CTTTCCAACTTTGGCGCACCAAACGCCCCGTTATATAATAATGATATCCGTGAGACGGTGAATCAATATAAGCTGTTAATGATAATAAATTCGCAGGCGGTACGGGGCGTCTTCAGCCGTCTTCTCAGTCTTCACTCTCTTCGCCTTTCCTTTTCATCGACGTCAAAATCGCAAACGACGAAAGGTCTTGGCATTTGTTTTAGTAATAAATTACTAATCACTTTAACTTTATATTCACATCCATTCAACTTCATCGCAACAACAACACGTCAGTTGAACTGCTGCATCTCTACGTCTCGACACTCTCAGCCTCGCCTGCTCTCATAGAGGCTGGGTTATGCTATACAGTTTGCTAATTTACTAATTTCTGAAGTCACGCGTTGACAGACGCACCCTCAGAATGGGAACTAGGGGGTATCGTATAGTTCGCTATCGTGGTAGATACTGGATTTACTACAACCACTATGACAGCTACCCTGAACACTTCGGTACCAGGATTGTTGCTGGAGTGCCAGTTGATCGAAAAGAATACGAAGGTGAGACCGTCCGATCCATACCTAATGCTGTTTCCATGGTCTTAGGAGCCTCTATATTCTGTCAAACCATCAAGGCGCTAGGTAAACGCGGCCTTCAGCTCGTCTTTACATGTATCTGTGTAAGGCTTGAGATGCAGCCTTTTGATCATTATTGAGAAAGAATATAGGGGATCTCAAGACCCTGTGGCACATCTTCACCCCGGAATGGAGTCAGATACTAAACCTATTTCTTGCGGTGATAGTATGGCTACAGCAAAAGCGTGATTCCTATGAGCGCAGGTTAGTCGAACTTGAAAAACACTACTGCATTACGGAGGAACGCGTACATATCCTAAAGAGCAAAGAGGGTGATGCCAAATCGGAGCCATGGGCGAATATACGTGATTTTGAGGTGCTTCCGTCCTACTTCGGCGACGCTTCAAACACCGTGTTTATTGAATGGGTGTATCTCATCGATCTTGATGAGCAGGTATTCTCTGTGAATAATCGAGTCTTCTTCAGACTTTGGAACATCCCTCGGGATACCTGGATTACACCTTTTGAGTCATGGGACCTCTCCACTGCAAAATGTCCTGAAGCTTCATTAGAGCCACTCATTCCCGACTATTTCGCCGATGACGCTGAGCGCGACAGGTATAACGAGATGTACAACAGATATCAACACTCCGACCTGTATGAGTTTTCGGCTGGTGTCGATTATAATCCGCGCCAAGTAATGGCTCTAATGCTGTACGAATACCTACTACACCCTTCTCACTCAGCTATGTGGGATTATGTTCCCCAATGGGGATATACAGACTTTGCTTTCCGAGAATTGGCATTTGCTATCCTATCACTAGCAGCTAGTGAATTTCACCTTACTGATGTTCAGAAGTTACATGGCCACTACAGACATCAATCTTCCTCACGTGGATTTTTTGTCCAAGATGACGCTCAGGATGGAACGGAGATTCTACCAATCCTCGGGGCAGGATGCCATACCCCAGTTACCAAACCTGGATGCGCGCCCTCAGAGACTACATACTACTTTCAGGGTATCCTTATCAGTCTTGTCACTGCCGAGGCTCTTCTTCACGAGAGGAATGCTGCTATAGCAAAAGCCGTGGAGGTTGGGCTTCAGAGTGGAAACAAGGAGTTTGAAATAATACTTTTCTCAATCAAGCTCATGATTGTGGCGAAAGTATCCGTGGGGGGCGATGTGACATCAGTCGCACATTCCGGGGTATTACCGGTCACCAATGGGGCTGCAGCTCCATTTCCCCCTGTTGCTGGTACGGAGTCAGCATTGCAGACACACCCAGGATTTGCAATTCTTCAAATAATGTTTGAGCAACAGGCCCAGAAGGACCTTCAACAATTCAGTCGAGGTGTGTTCCCGCCAGAGATATACGCTGAAATCCTCTCGTATGTCGACCCCTGTACCGAACTTGCCTGCTGCAAAGTCTCTCCTGTTTTTCGTAGCATCTGCCAGACACAAGTGACTACCCCCGATGGACTAGTCACCAAATTTGAGACCCTAGACGGTGAAGAAGATAAGCCGAGGTCCTATCATCGCTTGGTCCCTTTTGGTACGTTCACATTCAAGGATATGAAAATAGCAACGGCTGCACAGCCCTGCCGCCATTTTGATGACTTTCCAACCACGTTCAACGGACCTCAGTGGTGTGCAATCATTGGGAACGGAGAAAGGAGATGTGTTATCGCCCAAGCTCGTATCCCGATTGTTGCGACTGACCTTGATGAGGGAGAAGATAGTGATGACTAGTAATACGGCAATTTCGATTGACATAGCCCAATTATCATATATTCTTTTCACTATTAGGCCTCATGACTTTCCTTGTTAAACAAGCCATTGGTATGCCATATTTTGTTCATTCTTGAAATTTTGTAGGGACATCATACCGTTAAAGTATGTATAATCCTGCCTGCGCAGTACCACTCTTTCCAGAAGGCAGATGTGATCTTCTTTCCTCACATCTCGCGGGTCCAATATCTCGTACCAATCTCTCGGATTAGAGACAGCAGCCGGGCATAGAGAGGTGCTAGGTCACCATCTTTGGAATGCATATCCTAGATGTCGGTTATGTTTCCACGAGATGTGTCTCCAACCACTTCAAAGCAGTAGTATTGCCATATTGAGTGGGCATGGAGCGAAGTTGTGGTCGATACCACATATGTAGGTAGTAAATACCCAGTCCAATAACGGGTATATGGCCTGAACAGTTCAGTTCACCTTAGCAGTCCTCCTAAATCCTTCTCCATCCCCGTAACCCTAGCCTCTAGATGCCGTTTTTTCGCCTCCAGCTCTCGAATAGCTTCGAGTTCCCGCTCGATATCTTCATCCGTAACTTCCACGGCCTCAGCGATATCCTCTGTCTTATGTATATCACTGTCATCATATTGGGAGAGATTCATTCGTTCCAGCTCTTCTGCCTGGTCAGCAACACGCTTTTCAAGATACTCGAGAGAAGCCGTTATTTCGCGATGTCGAGATCGTATAGAAGCAATCTTCTCCTTGGCTCCTGCTACCGGACTATTCAAGGGTTTAGTATGCAGTCAATTCACCTTGATATCAAACGAAAACGTACTATACGTTGCAAAGCATTTCTGCACCGCGCAACAGAACCTCAATGTCCAACCCGCTCTTTATGGTTCTATCTGATGTTGGGGCAGTGGACCGTTTGATAGCATCCATCATATCACCACCAAGTACCCGCGCAACAGCGGACTGGTTCGTACGGTCTCTAACGGCGTATATGCGGCTGATCATAGATTCCCGTTCGGTCTCTGCTACAAACATCGTACCTCGACGAGTGGCTCTGCGCTGGGACTTGGTGGTGTTATCGACGGAGAAGAGGGCTCGTTCATGGGCCTCCGTGTCACGGATAAGAGTGGTGATGTCATGCTGTCCGAGAAGCGCATTGACAAATGGTTTTGGAGGAGGAAATCTAGAGACGGACGTATCAGATCGAGTACTTGTCTGTATATAGAGGTCGGATCTTACGATAAGTCTGCTATCGCGGACGCGGAGAGAGAGATCTGCTCCAGGTGGTTCTGTAACAGGCTCATTGCGACATCAACGAGGGAGATATCCAATTTACGCTGTGACAAATCAAGAGCACCACTTATAAACAGCTTGGTCATTCAATGTCTATTATCAGTCTTCTTCATCTCGACTTCGATTCTTTTCTTCCGGAGGTAAACAAAAAGATAAGCGTTGGTGCACTGGCTTAGTCATCAAGTTTGCTCCATACAATAACAAGCCCCCTACTATATAATCTGAGGAAGGGAATAGAGATATAAATATTATCGAATGCTTGGTAAGTCCTACCTTGTATGAGTTCGAGTTGAGTTATTCACACAGTGCCATTGACCATATACGTGCAAGTACTAACGGGTACTCTATATGTTAATCGGGCCAAGTGTCTTTAAGTGGTCTGTCTACTGATTGATTTCTGAAAAGATCTATATCCATGGTAATCATATTCCTCCAGCTCCGTTGATATTATAGACTGTCGGCATCAGCGAGAAAAGAAGAGATAAACCTCATATTGAAAAGGTACTCGGGGCCGGTACCTGTATATAGAGGTAGGGGCCGGGTTAGCATCTGGTGTAACCGTGAATACTGAGCAGAAGTTTAAGGAGGTAATCGGCTAGGATCGAGTAATAGGGTATCATCAAGGACCTTGATCTCGAGCTTGCTCTGTGTTCAGAGTAGTCCGTATTTTCACTACCAACGCTGGGACGACCGATGCCTAAAACAGGCGGACTACTTCCTGTCCGGCCGTCTGACGCGGTAATCGGCCAGTATGAGGCCTGCTGCCACTTCTCTCGCGCCAGCCTGCAGTTACGAGCCTTCCAAGCCGTGATTAGAATGCTGTCTGCTTGCTCATCGATGTATGCGCTGTACCAATCGAGTCTCTTCTTCTTCCGCCCTCTCTCGCCGTCTGTCCTCTCAGCGCCCTCCCTCGCCGCCATAGCCCGGCCCTTCCACTCCCCTCCTACCGCCTCTCCCGTCATCGTCCATCGCCCGCCTCCTCGTCTTCCCTCGTTGTTCATGGTCTCCGTGTCTCTGCCGTCTTTCTGTCGTCGTCTTCCATCTTCCGCGTCGCTCTCAGCTGCCTGCTTACTCACTACTTAGTCAGCCACGCTAAACCCTTCTGCGACTTTCCCTTCGCATCATCTTAACCTCTTCGCAACATCAGGAAAAACAACCAAAAACATCACCGTCAGCGTCTTCAGTTGCAAACGCCCGCAGCCTCGTTTCCCCGTCTTTGCCAGCCATTCTTGGAGCTTCGCCGTTTCTGTTTTGATCTCATTTTGCCTGTGCTTGCCTGCTGAAACGCCGTCTTCCTCTCCTTAGCACGCCTTAGTCACTTCGCCTCCCGGCTCTGCTGTCCTTTAAACGCCCGGCCCCCAGAAGAAGCTCTCGCCGTAGGGAGCTGCTCATTAGCTTCAGACACGATGCCAGCAGAGAAGCGGACGCTTCGCTCTAACCGGTCAGACGCCTCGGCGGATGGCGAGAAACCCCGTTCGAACTCGCAGAGCTCTAGCTCCAACAAAGATAAAGCTGCTCCGACTCGCTCGGCGGCGTCACGAGGCAAGGCAGCGCCAGCCAGGAAACCGGCCTCAGGCTCAAAAAAGGCCACGCCCGAGGGCTCTGATGCTGTCGAAAATGGTGTGAACGGTCCCGAGGACGTGCAGATGAGTGAAGAGCATTTGAACGGCTCTGTATCACCCAAGCAGCGCGACGACAACGACGGCGACGAAGAGATGACTGTTGTTGTTCCTCCGTCAAAAGCTTCAAGACTGTCGGGAGAGCCTGAGAAGAGCCGCAGCGAGTCTAAGATGGACACAGATCAGGACGAGGATGTTCAGCAGGATGAAGTGGTTGATCCGGCTGAGAAAGCGAAGTCTGGTATGTCTCTCCACGCTTCTGTATACCGTGATAATAATCATGATGGACATGGAATACTGACAAAACTATAGATATCCGGACAAATTTCACATTACTCGAGAGGGCTGTGATGCATTTTGATCTACGCTTCACCCTTAGGGTACTGCGAACAATCTCATCTATGCGTAAACACCTGTCTGCAGACCTACTCGCCAGTGTTATCACATCTGCCTATCAGCGTTCGGATCCTACCGCTTCCTTCCTTCTGGCAGCCCTTGATAGACAGTCTGCTTTTGATAATGTTACCGAAGATATTGATATGGAAGATGCCTCGGACATGAAATCGTCAGCTACGCCCGCCACAAAGACAGTCGCTTCATCCAAAGAAACCCTGCCCGAGATCGACGTCTATCTTTCCATTCTGGTTCAGATTCACCTGTATGATGCAAAACGTACAGAGAAAGGTGCTCAGTTCTCGCAGAAGCTGGTCGAGAAGCTGAGGACGCATAACCGAAGGACTCTGGACTGTTTGGCTGCTCGAGTGTACTTTTATTATTCTCTCTTTTTCGAACAGCTAAAACCGCTTCCGCCTTCACCGACTGCAGCCGTCATATCCATCAGACCTTCGCTCCTTGCAGCTCTCCGGACCGCCGTTCTTCGTAAAGACACCGACATTCAGGCAACCGTCACTACTCTCTTGCTTCGCAACTACCTGTCTACCTCCCACATCTCCCAAGCCGATCTCTTCATCTCTCACTCCGAATTCCCCGTCGGTGCATCCAACAACCAGATTGCTCGATATCTCTACTATCTAGGTCGGATCCGAGCTATCCAGCTGCGCTATACCGACGCACACCAACATCTGGTGGGCGCCACCCGGAAGTCCCCGTCGACTCTAAGCGCGGGTGGCTTCTACCAGGCATCGATGAAGCTACTTGTTGTCGTCGAGCTGCTCATGGGAGACATACCTGACCGTGCCATCTTCCGCCAGGCAGCTCTCGAGCGAGCAATGCATCCTTACTTCTTGCTCGTACGAGCCGTCAGCGTGGGTGATCTCGACGGCTTCCAGAAGATTGTCCAGACCTACGGCCCCGTCTTCCGAAAGGACAGCACGTACACACTTATTCTACGACTACGACAGAACGTCATAAAGACCGGTATACGCATGATGTCGTTGTCATACACTCGTATCTCCCTACGTGACATCTGCCTTCGTCTCGGCTTGGATAGTGAGGAGTCTGCCGAGTACATTGTCGCAAAGGCTATAAGGGACGGTGTTATCGAGGCATCGTTGGACCATGAGAAGGGCTACATGAAGAGCAAGGACATTGGCGACGTGTACGCTACCCAGGAGCCGGGAGAGGTCTTCCACGAGCGTATCCAAGCTTGTCTTGGCCTCCATGACGAGAGTGTCAAGGTATGTTTGCTCTTTTGATACAAACGGTATCTGGTTTTACGATGTATATATACTAAATATCTGTCTCAGGCAATGAGGTTCCCCATGAACCAGCACCGTCTTGAGCTGAAGAACGCCCAGGAGGCCCGCGAGCGAGAGAGGGAGCTGGCCAAGGAGATTGTGGAGGGAGACATGGACGACGATGACGCCGGTGGCGACTTCGAGGGTATCTAGTCGACCTGTATCTGTACATGGACAAGACACAATCCCTGAACATCCTCCTCCATCACCTCCACCAACATCCACATCCCCCAGCTCTCCCACGCTCTCGACCTCCTGGTTCTCATTACCTCATCCGTGCTACTTCATCTCACGCCTCTCAGGGCTGCCGTCTTCTTTCTCGCCGTCGACTAGAGACCAGCGGCTAACGGCCAAGAGACGTGCACTTCTGGCGAGCTCGTGAGCCGGCTTGGATGTATGTACAGTCCTTCAACCGACAAGCCAGGGCCTACTACTTTTTTTTCCCTTTCTCTCTTCTCTCCTGTGTCTTTGCTACAACAACATCCCGATGTAATTTTCTGCCTCCCTTTGTCTGTCCCTTTGCCTAGACACCAAGCTCGAATCCATCTGCATTCCATTTATCCGTCTTCATATTAAGCAGTAAGAAGCAAGTAAATAAAATAAATCGTTTAGTTGCATACTTACGGGCCCCGGTCGGCTGCGACGTTCGGCACGGAGAAATGCAAACACCCAAATGAAGCTTTTTTCCGCAGCCAAGTTTTGGACGTTGAAAAAAAAGTACAACACCGGACGTGCAACAACAGAACATCACGGTGCACCAGCTTGCACCACAGCGCATGGCTTGGTATATACACCATATATCCTGCTTCAATTGTCTATAGGAGACACTGCTGCAGGTACCTGCTATACTTCCGTCTCGTTTCTACCCACCCGACGGACCTAGGAGCCCGTCCCGACTTCTACCGCGAGTACTCATCTTCAACAGATCAACCAGCGAAAAGACCAGAACAACTCCCAACTCCTGAAGAAATGAGAGCTCGACCAAGCTTACCGGCCTATGGGCTGTCTCTGCGAGCTTCACAGACCTTCCGACCGGCCTCAATATGCTCGCGATGTCTTCACAGCCGCTTCACCATCTCTCCCTCCATACCTCCAGCCCACATCACAGCTCGCAATTACCATCCCTCGCGCCGAAAAGACCAGTCTGCACTCGCATCAGCCATGTCTGCGGCCCAGAACCTGTTTTCAAAGGAGATATCAAAGGCTCCTCCGCCTCCGCTGCCCTCGAATCCAGGCTCGCTACCTGCCAACGTCTCTGTTGACCCACTCAGGATGGTAGGCAAGGAGTTGAAGTTTCTCAAGAAGAATCTGCGCTGCCTTTTGGGCTCTGGACACCCGATTCTAGACCAGGTTGCGAAATACTACGCTCAGAGTGAAGGAAAGCAGGTCCGGCCCATGTTGGTGCTGCTTATGTCTCAAGCCACGGCATTGACGCCCAGCTGTGAAAAGCGTCGAGAACGAGACCAACTGCTTAGCTCGCTGCTATCCACCCCTTCTTCGAGCTCGTCAGGAGCATACATCAATGATTCGATCAATTCCCCGGCTATCCTGGCCGATACAAATCCCGATCTCATGCCGCTTAGCTCACCTACCCGAGATACCGTATATGCGCCTACCAAGGAAGATTCCAAGGATAACTTTACCAACGTCCTCCCTTCGCAACGCCGCTTGGCCGAAATAACTGAGCTGATTCATACTGCTTCCCTCTTACATGACGATGTCATTGATAACGCAGTGACTCGCCGATCAAATCTCTCCGCCAACCTTGCGTTTGGAAACAAGATGGCCGTGCTCGCTGGAGATTTCCTTCTTGGTCGTGCATCCGTCTTCATCGCCAGGTTACGTGATCCCGAAGTCATCGAGTTGCTAGGAACCGTCATGGCCAACCTGGTCGAAGGTGAATTCATGCAATTGAAAAACACCATGCTAGATGAATCAAATCCGGTATGGTCCGAAGATATCATCTCATATTATCTGCAAAAGACATATTTGAAATCTGCCAGTTTGATAAGCAAGTCCTGCCGTGCAGCTGCGTTGCTGAACCAGAGTGGTCCCGACGTCGCGGAGGCAGCTTATCTCTTTGGAAGGAATCTAGGATTGGCCTTCCAGCTCGTTGATGATATGTTGGATTATACCATCAGTGGAGAGGAGCTAGGTAAACCTGCCGGTGCCGACCTAGAGCTAGGGTTAGCTACTTCACCCTTGTTATTTGCCTGGAAACAACGGCCAGAGCTTGGAAAACTTGTAGGCAGAAAGTTCTCTCGCGAAGGAGACGTCCAGTTGGTATGTTAATACCCATTGATACCAAGCTGTTATTACCCGCTCTAACAAACATATGTATAGGCCCGTCAAATTGTTTCGCAATCCGATGGTCTCGAGCAAACTCGGGCCCTTGCCCAACAATATGCCGATGACGCCGTTGCAGCCATCAGTAAATTCCCCGATAGTGAAGCAAAGGACGGCTTAATCGAAATCTGCCGCAAGACCATCAACCGAAGAAAGTAATTTATCGCAAAAGAAACGAAAAAAAGCTACTCAAGAATATCACCAAACCACAGGGTATGAACAACCTGCCTACAAATGGCACGAGCAGAGGAGGGGGAATGTAATATGTTCGCGAATTCCGGCGTCCCGTAGTGGCCTGGTCCATATATGTTCGTCTCCTGTTGGAAAAATAAAATCGACGGAAAAAAAAATTTGGGATGAGCGCATGAGGGTAGACGCTCATGTAGAACACCGCTTTGGCGTTTTTGAGGATTCTTTTTCCTGAAGTTATTATTACTGTGAACCTGTCACCTTGGGCATCATGGTGTAAGATTAACGGAAGATATAGACGGGCAAAAGTGGCTGGGAACGGTGAGGTGGTCTATCTGTACATATATGTTCTGTAGGATAGAGGATCAATGCCTTCTTTATCGCTAACCGTTGTGTTTTGATGAAGTATCAAGCTGGAATAGATGTACTGATTGCTCTAGTAACTGCTCATTGATATCATAGACATTCATGGGGGGCCATTAGATAGGTGTTCCCGGGTTACTCCAAGAAACAGATGGCCTCAATTCATTCTCCTGATCACTCTCATCCTGTGAGACCAATCTTACGCCTCCAATTCCATAACTCTGGGAGGTTCTCTGACTATCAAGACTCATCTTTGGTCTAAGGCCGCTGGCCGGAGATATTGGGGACAAGTGGGAATCGTCTGGAGGGATATCATTCGATCTAACTTTCAAGCTCGGTTTATCCTGCTCGTACTGCCCCTTCCTTGCCCGCTCGTATTCAGTCACTAAAGACCGACAATATGCCGCAGCCTGAACACTCAACGCATAATCAGCTGGCGCACATTTAGCATGATTCCTTGCCAGTGGAGGGGCACCAGCAGATACTAGCAGTCGAAATGTTTTCAAATTCCCCCATGCACTTGCGTAGTGAAGTACAGTGTTGCCCACTGAATCAGTCATTGTCAAAGACGCTCCGCGTTTAATAAGTTTGGAGACAGTACTTGTATCCTCGAACGAAGCTGGGTTCGAAGCTGATGAAGATGCCCTAGGTCTTTGTCTCGGTGGTACCAATGAAGATGTATTCGACGTCTGGCTTGAAATATTGGAGCTCTGTGACGCAAGCATTAATGCCGTAGCTCCGTTCTTATCCTGCCAGTCGATAGAATGTTTGAAGACGGTAGCCAGGTAATCCGCACAATCCGCGTGTGAATTTGCAGCCGCTAGATGAAGCGGTGTCGAAGAATCCGTATTCAGACTTATTCCGGGGGCCCCATCAAAGTCCATGAAAGCTATATCTGGCTCGCATGAATCATGGCCCAGACTGACCAGCAGCTTGACTACTTCGAGGTTGCCTAGTATTGCGGCCAGGTGAAGAGAGGTGTTGCTCTTGTCGTTAAAGTCGGGGTTATGTAAATATTTTGGATATTTCTTAGCTATCCGTTTGACTAGCAGAGCATCACCTTCGAGAATGGCCCGGCGCAGGCGGAGTTGAACCGGTAAGTCGTACCTTGTTGACAGTCAGCCATGTCTCCAAATGCACATCAAGTGTAAGGACCAAGAAGACTTACATTTCTTCTACATGGTGCGGCTAGCTTCCAAATCTCGGTATACTCCGGTTCGGAGGCCAGAAGAGCTTTGACGACACTTTATCAAGTTCACCTTGCGATCTCTTTCGCTTGGTCCTCTTATCTTTTGTTGCCATCTCTTTGGAGTCGCGAAACTCGAGCCCGAGCGTCATTATTTACACGTGATCGCGGCTAGGTTAAGGTGCTTGGCAAGAATTAGGTTTGTTAGTCATCAGATTTTCGCGCTAATATTTTTAGCCGCGGGCTTAAGCGAGCTCTTATTTTTGGGAATCCTGAACGAATAAGTGGTCTTATGAGATGGCATTGAAAGCAAATCTTCCCACTTGTTATGAATTTGTTTTTCTTAGACTGAAGACCGTCGGACATATACCAACAATCATCTCAAGGGTCAATAGACTATAACTCTGGCTGCCAGGCCATCGTGAAGATGGCCACCGTCTGGCTCTCGACTTATTCCAGAAGAGAGATTGGGATCCTTGAGTGGTAGACCATAGAACCCACTCTTTCAGACACAGTATATATACCCCCAGCAACCTGCCAAATAGCTTGGGGTGTGTGTTATGGAGGGACCTTATTTTTTGGACACTTATTGGTATTTAAGTTCTATTTTACGGACCTTCTCACCTGCATAACTCACCATCAAGCTCTCCGTTTCTATCCTTATACTATGAGCTTATCGCTCAGGCCTAGCTCAAGCTATCGCTGCCGGGCGACAAGCAGCAAAGGAAGCTTACCCTTTCCAGGTTTCTATTCAAACGAGCTCCCATAGATGTGGCGGCAGCATCATCAGCAAAGACCATATCCTTATCGCTGCCCATTGCCTCAAAGATCTAACACCAAGCCGGACCAGGGTCCGGGTCTCAGTGCAACATGCTTCTGGTAAGCAACTAGTGCGGGTAGTGAAAATAACTGTGCATCCCTAATTCGACGCTAAGACCAAACAAAACTATATCGCTATCCTCCAGCTACAGAATAGCCTGGAGTTTGGACCTTCGATCTCAGCCATTCTCCTTCTATCCCCCGACGACGCAGTCCCAGAAATAGGAACAAAATGCTCTCTTACTGGCTGGGAAACTACTGGCAGCGGCAGCGGTTCCCTCCCGCAAATTTGCTTGTCACGGATATCGACTTAATAAGCCTCGAAGATTGCAATAAAAGCCATACATGACCGCCTCAAGTCACTGACTCAGCGTTGTGTACTCCTGTCAAAGCCGGAGGGAAAGGTGCCTGTAAAGAGGATGATGGTGGTCCAGTTGTCGACGGGGCGTTTATGACGCAGATTGGGGTTATCTCATACGCTGTATGTGGACGATACGCGCATTAAGATACCTATAGCAATGTCCCGGCATACTCAGCTTGGATCTGGGAGAATATGCTCCCTCCCGCCTAATCTCGCTACCGCTTCTCATGCACATCGTCAGTCATCATTGGCGTGGCAGGTGGAATTAGTCTATAAGTACTCAATACTCAATGACTGCCACCAATCCCTTCCACTTAGCTTTACATAGCAAGTGGATGGGGGAGGAAGCGGTTTCCATGAGCGACGAAGTCTCTGACTTGATGCAAATCATGATACAAAAATTCTAGCAACCTGACATTTATAATTCCACTGATAACAATATGTATAGATGTTGATATATCCACTGCTAAATGGGGGAAAAAAACTAAATCTAGAGCATCCCGCTTGTCATAACATCTGAAGACCGGGGGAAAAATCCACTTCTCCTAGGCCTAGATCCCATAATCGAGACATTTAACCTGACTTGTTTCTGTTGAGCCATCGCTCTATTTCTGCTTCATTATCACCCGTTGCCAGTGGGAAGCTATGCCAGTCATTTGCTTCGCTAGATCCCCCTTTTGATGGCCACAGATTATGGAATACAGCGCCTAGGTCAAGGCACGTATCACCAAAGGACTGAAAACATCTATTCCACTCGATTCTGTTCTTCCCTGTTCTGATCGCGATGAGGTTATCCATAGTAAGATCTGAGTAATTTCGTTCTACTGTCCACTCTACACCGAGATATCTGAGGACATTGTAGTAAAGCGTACTTGCGCCCCTATCATGTATATCATTTGTGAATTCCGTTGTATCGACTCTAATGGTCATCTTTTTGAGTAGGACCGATATATCTGGCTTAGCCGAATTTATCGTGCGAAAAATAGAGGAAACCAGGTCGGCGTCAAGAGCACTATTTATGAACCCATCCCGCAAATGTCCTTTACGGGGGCATTTGTAATATCCGAGGGTTATCTGGGGATAAAATTCCTTGTCAAAGTCATCGAAAGAAGGATCGCTAGGAATATCAGGCGCCTTCCCGCAACCTCCCAAGCGAAACTTGGGGTCTTCCACAACCAATAAGAGATCCAGGTAGGCTAGTCTGGCCATAGAGCCTAGAACTTTATACATTTTGACCTCATCTGCGTTTCCCCGAAGGCGGCGGAGGGTTATGACAAGGGTCGAAAGTAAAGGGCAGTATTTGGCTATATGGTTGAGGTTGTTGAGGGATACAGACGAACCAACCACTGGCTTTAAATGAAGTTTGCGTAGGTTGGAATATTGGAGAACATCCAGCTCAAGTTTTGGGTCCCAATCCTGAAGCTTAAGAGTCGATAGAGCAGGTACTTGTTCGAGAAACCGTTTAATAGCACGGGCAAAGGAAGATGAGCATGGCAGAAGAAAAAAGGAGGTCCGACTAAATTTTCCCATCCATAGTTCAAATGTCTCAAGACATGCAAAGTTAAAGGTCAAAAGGTACTCTAGCACGTCTTCCCGAATGTTACAGACATCGGGACAGAGCCTCAAGACACGCAACTTTGAGAAATCTGTATACTCACTCCACGGTTCTATATCCCGTTTGATGATGTCTGTTTCTCTTTTGGACAACACTATGCGCTCTAGCGCACCCTTTTGAAATGTCCCTGGAAGTTTTTTGTCCAAGGTAAAACCCTGCCAGTGTTGGTTCCAACTATAGGCAGGTTTCAAGGGAAACCGTGCTGCGAAACCACCTAGGCGGTCGCGATCTATATGAATTTCTTTCAGGTTTGGCGAAAGCCCATATACCATACGCTGAATGGCTTCCTGATGGAAGCTGTATAACTCCTCAGAGATTTGTACATCGTAGCATGAAATTGTGAGACCATATAGACAGGGTGAGGTAACCA